AAAATAATTGTATAAGTTACTTAAAAATTGTATAGATTTGTGTAAATGTTTCAATTAAAAATAACTTTAATTATTTTCCCTTTTCACTGGACTTTAAAATTGTTGTATACATTTGCGTAAATGTTTCAATGAAAAATAACTTTTAATATTTTCCCTTTCCACTGGACTTAAAAATTGTTGTATACATTTGCGTACATGTTTCAATTAAAAATAACTTTAATTATTTTCCCTTTCCACTGGACTTAAAAATTGTTGTATACATTTGCGTAAATGTTTGAATTAAAAATAACTTTAAATGTTTCCCCTTTTCACTGGACTTAAAAATTATTGTATAAATTTGCGTACATGTTTCAATTAAAAATAACTTTATTTTCCCCTTCCACTGGACTTATTTTTGTTGTATGAATTTGTGTAAATGTTTCAATTAAAAATAACTTTAAATATTTTCCCTTTCCTCTGGACTTAAAATTACTGTATAAATTTGCTTAAATGTTTCAATGAAAAATAACTTTTAATATTTTCCCTTTTCACTGGACTTATAAATGTTTTTCCCTTTCCACTCTAGCTAATTGCTGTGATTTCTTACTCTTTCAGAATGTGGCTACTGGTGATTTGGCAATTGAAGCTTTCTATAATAGTCTTTGTAATTTAGTAAATAATTATTGGAAATAATTTGAATAAATAAATATTCATTGTAATTTAGTATCATATTGGAAATAATTTGAATAAATAAATATTCATTGTATTCAGTTTAGTATTGAGTATTTTTTCTTCTCGAGCATTGAAAAAGCAGGATGAGCAGGATGGGGAAAAAAAAAAAGCGCCCTCGAATAGAAAAAGGCCCAAAATATGACTAAGTTATTTGGCCACAATAGTCTGTCCGGTTCTGGTAAAAATAGTGAAGAAAATCACCCTAAATAGCCTTTTTAATTTAAAGTTTTTTAGGGTGTCTTAACTGTCAATGGCAGTAAGCGCCCTCTAACATCCAATTTTTTCAGAATATCATAAAAACTGGCTATTAGAGGGTACTACAACCTTTAATTAAATTAATGACAAAGACGACACCACCGAAAAACATTAAACTAAAATGGCTATAGAGGGCGGTTTCCAGCACCACACAGGACCCCTTTAAATAATTTTAGAGAACCTGGAAATTTTGGCTTTCTTTTTAGAGACCCTGGAAATTTTGGCTTTCTATTGGAGGGCGCCCTTCAGCACCACTTTTAATAGAAATTGAGAGACATGGGAAAAATTAGCCTTTTTCTATTGGAGGGCGCTTTTTTAATCTTACCTGCATTTATCAGTCAACCATCAGTCTTCAAACTTGAACAGCAAAGAAACATCAAAACACTATTGATTTTTTTTTATTATCTTCATAACCAAAATCATATCAAAAACAACAACAATCAACATCAACAACAACAATTCATTATATGGAAGTTAAAATGCAAGTTATATCGTCTGTACAATTTAATCAGTTTTTCAGAATTAAGCAATTGTTGTCTTGATGCTGCAACAACTTACCTGCATCCACCAGTCTTCAAACTTGAACAGCAAAGAAAAGTCAACACACTACTTATATTTTTTATTATCTTCATAATCAAAATCACAATGTAAATTATTAGGCATCAACAATTCATTATATAGAAAGTTAAAATGCTCTGCTAGTAATCTTAGTAGTTTTCTGGTTCTCTGGTCTGATTGTAATTAGCCAGTTTATATCTTTTGTACAATATACCAATTATGCAAGTTATATCGTCTGTACAATTTAATCAGTTTTTCAGAATGAAGCAATTGTTGTCTTGATGCTGCAACAAATAATACAACCGCAACAAATAATACAAACAACAGCTTTCACCGGGATTATGGCATCACAATATTCAGCAAGATGTTAGCAAAACTTCTGTATTGTATTTGGCATGACAAATTAAATTAACTAATTTAAAATTAAATTGCCTATATTAGACAAAATTAATTATAATATGTTTCTCTTCCTCGTCTTCCTCTGCAGCAGTACTTTTCCTGTCTTGCAACTGTGTTGCCGCATCCACCAAAAATAGATTCTAAAAAAAGAATTAGACACAAACACAAATTAAACAAAATTAAAGGTAATAATAAAGTTAATTTCATAAAGCTTCAGTATATTTCACTTAATACTTACAGTATTAATTCTTTGATGTACAGTTTATCAAAAGTTACTTATCTTGCAGAGAGTTGTCTGTCGTCTGCAAAAAAAAAAAATATACAGATATTGTTTTTGTATTCTCAGATACTTTCACAAATACTGATTTGGGAAAGCGCAAGCTCAGTGTTGTAGTGGTTAAGCACCAGGCTAGTTATCTGGTGTGTAAGTCCCATTTCCATGTACCACTGAGTACTCTAATGCCATTTAATGCTGTTTTTTATGTTAGGAATATTTTAGTTCATCATACGGAATGCTCAGCATGTTGCATAATACTTGCAAATAAAGTCATTTGGGTTGAAATTGAACAACTGAGCTTACGCTATAGTGGTTGAATCCAATTTAAGCAAAAGAAATCTTGCAAGAGTCCAATTTGCAAGTAGCAGCAATTAGGCCTACTGTGATGCTTTTCAATTGTTTTATTTTTTTCCAAACGCCATCAAATATAATTCTCACAAACAGTATTGTAATTGCCCCATCAATATGCACCCTTGTCAAACAGGCATGATTCCATATGCTCCTATACTGTCCTTTACCTGGATTATCGCACTATTCAGGAAATGTTCTAACAAAACTTCGCACACTTTTCACGACTTGCCTCATGGGTCATTTTTTGTTGCTTCATATGCCAAAGAAAAAAAAAATAATAATAACATTCAAAGCATATGGTACAAACAAGAAACAGTAAGGTTGAGACATGATAATTTTAAGGAACGAAGAAATTATATCATCAGTCGGTAGATTCAATGGACGTTCTTTATTTTTGTTTTTTGGGGTAGAAAAAAAAATAATAATAACATTCAAAGCATATGGTACAAACAAGAAACAGTAAGGTTGAGACATGATAATTTTAAGGAACGAAGAAATTATATCGTCAGTCGGTAGATTCAATGGACGTTCTTTATTTTTGTTTTTTGGGGTAGAAATGGGAAGGTCCACCATACAGTTAAGCATTATCTCAGACCTCCATGCCTGTTTTACATAGAACATAGCTGGCGCAACTGGGGGACCTCACCTTTTTGGCAGAAAATATATAATGTCTATGGAGATTTTTGTATGATCAGGAAGAAATGCAATAAAAGAAAGAGGAGATCGAGCGGAAAGAGTGTTTCTAGGTCTACCGTTTTAGGACCTGTGAGCTGAATTTTTTTGGGTTTTTTTTAAGAAAATTTGAAGTCAGGAAAGCTCATTTCCCACCATCTAGGAATCAAAATTTTCTAGGGGGGAGGAGGACCCCCAGTTATTTTTTTATTTTTGGGGTTTATCGATTCATGGTATACCAGTACACACGTACATACATGACTATTTTAACTTTTAAAAATTCTTAATTATTTGTATATAGGAATGTTTATGTTACTTGCATTGCTTTTCAATATTTGTTTAATTATGCAACTGTACGACTTTGAAAAATAGTACACAAGTACTGAAAGTGCAGTAAAAAGACAGAATAAATAAATAAAATATCCTTGTACTATAAAAATAAGAAAATATTTATTAGTCTAACATGATTTTGCAAAATAATTTTCATCAGCGTGTACAAGTATATAAAATGCACATGCCTACCTAATCACATCAAAAATCCTTTTCGAAACAAGCTGCGTTCGTCTGAACGAGTCTATTTCCACCATGCCATGCACACCTACAAAGAAACGGACCCGTATTTTTCATGTCATTTATTTATTCACCAAGAAACATGGTAAGGGACAGCTAAAGAAACAAGTCTGACCCGGAGGCCAGCTGTCCCTTTAAATACAAAGTACAAAACACATAAAATTTAAAATTTAATCTATATACAATAACATGAAAAAAAAATTAATATTTTTTTTCTTTTTTCTTTCAGAATCATTTAAATCGGATGTTGACTGATAAAATATTGCTTAAGCTTTAAAATAAATTGAGGTATGAGTAAGTATAAAATCTTTGATTGTGATTGGTAATGATGTCCAGAAGGCGGGAAAAATAATAATAATAATAATTTTTCAAAGCAATAGTGCGAGAAAATGGATGTTTAAATTGTTTTATTTTAACACATACAATACATAGGCCTACCTCGTTTTGTTGATACGTATATAGCAAATATACCCCATAATCATAAAACAATGGCGTTTTTTGTTTTTGCTTAAATACAGCTTGTCCACAATATCCGTCGTCAACTCATGTCAAGCGGTTCTTTGGAATTCACAATCTGCTACACAGGTGGGTGCATCCAGTTTATTAGGTGAAAATGGCCACAAGAATTTCTAAACTTTAGTTATTGGAATAAATCCTTTTTATACAAGGGTATAGATAGATATTATGTATTTGCTTTTCCACATTGGCGTGAACAAATATACACAGACACTTACAAAAGGCATCAAAATTATATAAAAACATTAAAAAGGATATTGACTGGGAAAACATTTAAGGATAGAAACACAGGAAAGTACAAAATGAGAATACTAAAATACCAGAAAAATAATAATAGAACTATAAATATGGAAACAATACATTTTAAATACTACAGAAAATTTAATTTTGAAGCATCATCAATTTAAACTATATTGTATTATGAAGTTCAGATATATAATGGTTCTTCATGAGTTCCTAACAGTACCATTATTAAAATACAGGGTTTTTTTTATTTTTTATCTTGCCAGTGAGTTGTCCAGGTAACACAAAACAAATCCTTTATTTACCACCACACCATGCAACCATTCTCACGGAGAACAGATAATGAATGAGCCAATAGTACCTGTGGAAACTGGCATTCTCTTAGTAAATTGTACAAGCTGTGCTCGTAATAGAAAGAAAATGCCCACATGTAGGCATTACCTGACTACCCTCTTCATCTATGCAGCAGTAGCCATCTGATGATGCTACTTTCCTTTCAACCATGCAAGCACTTTTGTCTGGTTTATATTTATTCACTTCGGGATCTTCGTTACTACCTTCTTCATGGAAAGTAGATTTCAGTTGACATGTCTTGGAATAAGATAAGCCGGCACATTTTCCTGTTAATAAAGAACTTAAATTTACTGCCAAATCATGTTGCATACCTTTCATATCGTTTTAAATAATAATCCAGATAATTCTTACCTTCATTAAATGGTGGTAATTTAGGTCTACTTGCCTTAACTTTGGATGACCCAGTTTCGGGGACAGGTAATATTCTGCCCGACTTGGGTTTGTTCTTTTCATCAGTGTTCTTATATAGTATTATTTCCTGGACGAGTAGTCTCCAAAAATGTCACACAGCCTCTCAGAAGCTATCTGAAAAAGATCTGAACATACTCAAGAGACACAAAAGTTCACAACACAAATAATTATCAAAAATGTTTACTGATACATTATTGAGAAAGTGCCAGCCTAGTGTTGGGGAATCAAGTGGGGCCGATGAAGACAACACTATCCTAGGGGGTCCATTTTTTGCGATCAATGTTTTCTTTTCTTCTTTCTTTTTTTTTGCTTTCCAAAAGGAAGGGGACAGTAAATCTGCCCCCTGAATTCCATCATCATTAACATATGTTTTCAATCATCTCATTACAAAGCCATAGCAGTTAACAAATAATAATGGTTTAGCATCAATGCTGTAACACTACAACTTTATCAGTCAGCCCTTCCAAAACTTAATATTATGTTACCAAAATACAATAACAGTTTGTTCACGATTTCGACATCATTTTCCTTATGGCCTTTTAGCTCTATCGCATTAGATTTAATTATCTATCTATGTATATA